AAGTTAGGTTAAGAACATTACACTGTTTATTCCAGGTTAATTCTGAAGTCGGTCCTGTTCTTCATCTCAAACCAGTAAATAAAGTGCTTTGCAGAGTCTCTGTGTATACAAACACAAAATAGAAACTTGCATAGTTCCTCTTGTACATGTGTCTTTCTTATCCCACATCTCTCATTTTTCTCACTGAAAAAGCTGACAAGACTCCTGGATATTATTAACCTGTGTTAATATTTATGGATGACTGTATCTCAAAGAAGAAAATTGTTAAACCACCAGCATTCTTTCTGGGAACAAACATTCATAGTGAATACTTGCATGAAGTATACCCTGAAAGAAGAGTCAGCAAGTAGACTTATTCTATTCTGTCTGCTACCTGAAGCGAAGTCCACAGATAAAATAATTTGCTAACCAATGAAAAACAATCTTTAGATATCTGTGGAAGACTGATAATGAATGACCTTATAAAAAGATGAGTAAAGACTTAGTGAAGAACATGTTGCAGAAAATAAAAATTTTGTTTGTATTCCACAATTAAACACCAACAGTCATCATTATTCCAAGGTAATAAATAATATACTTGGAATTTTGTTTAATTCCTACAGCATTCCCCACTAGAAAACCTTAGAAGTATTTGTCACATCTGTTCCATCAGTCTGGTTCCCAATGGCTGTGGTCCTCAGGTTATTTTTTATTTGAAACTGGGTGATTACTCTAAAGAGAATCAGTACACCTTTTTTCATTCAAACAAGTTAATCTTCCCAATTATCACACCACAGTAGCTTAAGGTTGTTGCTTCTTTTCTGAAGTAGGAAAAACAGATTCATGGTTGCAATGGCTACAGTAGAACAAAATAGCCAGGTCTTCCAATACTGAAAACCATCTGCTTGGTGCTTTATTCAATTGTGTGTGTCAGTCATTCATTTGGTACTGTATTCTCTCTGCTGTCCTATGTCTTCTCCAAGTTTTAGTGAGCTAACTGGATAACACTGTCTGTTAGCAGAATGGAGTAAACCTACACTTGATTTCAAGCAGTAGTGTCATTTTGAAGTTAATCCTTCCAGCATCTTCACTTGCTCATGCTGTTTTGGTTCATGTATACTTGCTTTTTCTTGGAAGAATTTAACCCTGAAGTTCTGCTTCAGATATGTCCTGAATGCTTATCAGCTCTTAAAAATATCTGAAATGATGATTCATCACTTAGCTTAAAACTTTGGAGATCATTGATGTACAATGGGGTCCTCAGCTAAACTGGACTAAATCTAGTCCGAAGTAAAACAACAAATGTGTAGTATAGCTGCAGGGACCTCAGCACCAGCTGCTTCAGTCTGTCTCCTCCTTTTGCTCTGAATTACTTGCTAGTGTAGACAGCCTACATCCTGCTTCTGCCCCTGGTAACACTTTGCTCTGGTTTAACTGTAATAAATCTTTAAAAACTGACATAAAGAAAAGCAAGGAAATTATCCATGCATTCCTGTACTTTTTTTTATTGAGTCCAGAGGTCACACAAACTTGGGAAAAAAATGGATTGTCCAGAACAAAGATAAGAATTAAATCCAAGGATATTGCTTTATTCTCATAAACTAGAATGTACCGTGCTTTCTTTATGGCAAAATTATTGATTCTTTATTTGATTCTGGATTTCTTTGTTTAACAAAATCTGCAGTTTTAAGAACATGAAATAATGGATTATAATCATCTTGGCTTTAAAAGTTAGAGTGAAATGTAAGGCGGGATAGATCCCTGCTATTAACACCTGTCAGTTATGATTTCGCCGCAGCTGCAACTACCTGAAATATTGCTACTATACATGTGAATGTGTCAAGGAAGTAGAAGAACAATGAATTGCCTTTGCAATTCATGTCAGATAGCAGCTTTGATGCATGTCGCCAGGTATCTGACTCTTCTGTATCGTTAAGAGGAATTATAAAGCATACAAGTTTTTAATAGGTGCATTTTGCAGAAAGATCTATACTTCCTGGATCTTGGTTGTAAGCTGTGTCTACATGCCCTGGCTGCATCTGTATCAGCAGAAAGATTACCTCCTCCAGAATATCTGGATCTATTAATCATTTTTCCCCTGGTGGAGATACTAGTCTTCCAGGCTGTTGCTTAATGAGTTCATGTGAACCTGCCTGCCTTTTCCAATCAAATTGGTAGAAAAATTTTGGTAGAAAAAAAAACATGATATTTTGGTGGGTGTGGAATTAGAAGCAGTTCAACAGGTCAATATGAAGGAGGCAGTAACTTCTCATCAGGAAAGACAGGGCTGCTGAGGGGTTATAATCTTTTCACCCAATGTTATCTTCAGCCAATAAAAGGCATGGGAATACAGCTGTACTGCATAATCAGTGTAATATAGGTTATTAGAAAAAATCTTTAAGCTGAATGACTTAAAATCCCATCTAGAATGCTACTGTAAGTTTTCTAGAAATAGACTTGGTTAGTCTTTTAATTCATGACGGCATAGTATTGACTTATGAAATAAGAATCATAGAATCCTTTAGGTTG